TAATTTACAAGTTAACGCCTGCAAATGTTTGATTTATAACTAGTCAGTAAAGGGGGATTCTTCAGAAATCTCTCCTGGCAGCAGAGGCCTCTCCTCCTCTTGTTCCCCAACTTAAAAACCTCTTCAAATTTACATGATTAACAGGACATATTTATCACTAAAAACAGCAAATTCAGACAAAAGGTGATGAGTCTGCCTGTATGTGGTTTGAATGTCATTCTGCTAGTAATCTCTCTGTTTTTATAATGAACCTGTGATTTGATTACTGTTCTTTTACTGTAACTGTAACAGATTACAGTTACCTTTTTTGTATCCTGATTACATAACGCTGTTACATGTATTTCGTTACTACCCAACCCTGTTTTACATCAATTTAAAATGAATAATTTAAACTTTTTTTTTTGATAGATCAAGAATGATAGTGAACTCACAAATGAAATTCCCTAAATATTACTTTCTTTATCATTTCCATTCACATTCTGAACAAAATTGCCTTTCTCATTTGCAACATGACTTTTCCAGGGTGCAAAAAGCTCGAAATACAAACCCTCAGGGTTAAAAAGAACCTCATTGCTTAAACTGGTTTCAATTCAGCTCTGGTTTCAATTCATTTTTCATATGCCAACACAGACTGAAGACATTTTTTATTTTAATTTTAATAAAGTTTTAATATATAAAGTCTGTAAATTTTTAAGTGTATTTTAATTGTAACAGCTATTGAAACGACCAATAAAGATTTTCAAGGTTATTAGCCTACATTATTCCATTTCCTCTAACAGCTTCATAGATAACTGTGAAAGAAATGAGCGCTAGAGTAATAATGTGGGCAGGAACTGTCATCTCAGTAACGCTGAATGACTTTAAAGGTGGTAGTAAAGTCCCTGCTGGCGGTAAAGCACCAACAAGTCGGTTTGAAAACGAACCTTCACTTTCACTCAGCAAGTCGGCGCAGTTCAGCATCCTGAAATGAACGGCACTACCGTTTGTGACCACTAGATGTCACAGTTCTGTCAGTAAGTTCTGTACGGCTGAAAATTGAGGGAATTATAAACTTGCATTTTAAAGAAACTTAATCTTAATTTGAAAGCTAAGAAAAAGAGTAGAGTTAAATAATTACATTTTAAATGTTTATAGTTCTGGATTGTAGCATTGAGTAAACATGGAATAAACATTGTTGTGGGTATTCTCTGCGCTAATGAATGGCACTACCGTTTATCACCACTAGATGTCACAGTTCTATCAGTAAGCACTGTGAGGCTAAAGAATGAATGAATGAGCCTCAGTCTTGTTTCTAACATCAGCGTGACCTGGTGAGCGATTTGATAACTCAGAAAAATCCTAGAAGTCCTCGAATCCCAGAGCTGGTTTAAGGAGAGTCTGGCCAGAGGCGGTTTAAGAGAAGCCTGGCCTTTTCTTCTTTCCCCGTTATATCAAAAACATAACCGGAAAACGCCAGAGGGCGCCCGCGAGCGAGTCCTCAATGAATGGGGTGAATGGAGCTAAACGACTAAAAACGAAAAGTTAAAATAGTTTCTAACCACTTTCCCTTGAATTTCCTTTAATTTTAGAAAATAGAAGGATGTATATCACCTGTGTGTTTCCTTTTTGAACAGAAAACGTGTTTTGGGTAATTGGACGCTGTGTTACTGCTTCTGAGTGCTGCATGGCTGGCGAGCGGAGCAGCCCATTGGCTCTTCGAGCTGACTGACGTCATTAACGTATATGAGGCGCTCTTATAAACTACTATAACTAAAAAATAAAAATAAAAAATAAAAAAACACCCATGACTGGAGTTGAAAAGCACTTGAAAATATAACAGTGGTGTTAAAATGTTTTATGCTGTTCTGTGTTCAGGAAATTAATGCATTCTTTTACACTAAAATGTTTAAGTATTTATAAACTATGATTTTGCTAGGGAGCGCCCTCTAGGGTTTGACAAAGACATTACAGAGTGGTAATCCTCCTCTTCAAATTCTCTGGAACTAAACTCTATATATGTTTTGGTGCTAGTTCATTACAGCATTGTCAATAAACATGGACTAAAAGGCACTGTCATCACTAGATAGTTACATACAATAAGTTCATTATGGCTAAAAACTGAATAAATAAAAATGTTTTAACGCCAGCTTCATCTCACAAATGATGTGATAACTCCAAAAATATAAAACACATTGAGAGTTCTGTGTTGCATTATTAATAAATAAACATAGATTAATCATTGTTTAAATGCTATATCATGGTGATTGCTAACCTTTGCATTCAAAGACTACCCTCTCTCTTTAATGGGATTGTGCATTTAGCCAAATTCTTTTAGTATCTGCTGTAATGCCATAATCATCATATAAACCACTTTATGTTTGTCTGTTTTATGCACAGCACATACATTTATCTTTGACCCTGTGCTAATGAACACAGGCACAGGATGTTCACTTCTCCTCATTGTTTTAGCTCTCATAGAAATGAGGTCCTCTTTATCAGAACAAAGTAATAAAGCTTACATTTATTTTTGGTGGAGCAACTGAATTCTAAATGCTAGGGGGGACACAGGCTGCATGCTTTATGTGCCATTTTACAAGCAGGGAATTACACAGGATTATTGAATAATTACCTGTTTACATTTAATGAAAATAAATTTGAAACAAAATTCAAACAGATTTATCACCTCCTCCACTCCAGATGCGTTGGTAACATTAATGGCAAATGGTATGTAAGTCAAAACAGAGGTGTACCAATAGCATCATGTTATTTTTATGATTTTTACTTAACATAAAAGATAAATATGAAGCAATCTTACTCTCAGCAAAACAGCATTTAATCCAGTGTTTGCTTGTTAAAGCATTCAACTGGCTTCCTCTTTGACGTTTTCACTGTTTCAAATGTTTCATTGTAAATCATTAAGACAATAAAACGTATCTATCTGAATAGGCTAACCTAATCAGCCTAGTCCACATGATAAGAGTTTTAATATTGTCTGTAGGACCTGATCTGGGTAAAGGTTCAGATCATGGAAACAAAACAAGGCATTCTGGTTCTGCCATTAAAGAGGCCACAAATAAGGCAATAAAGTCTACTAACCAATACAGCAGTGATAAGGTAGATTAGTACACTCAGGTACCAAAGGGCGAGGCAGGGAGGGCTACAGCCTTCAGTAAGAGGGTTTGTTGGGTGTTTTATACCTTATAAACATGCAGCATAAGTCCAAGAAATTAATAGGTAATAACAAAAATTACCTTCAAAAAATAAAAAATGCTTGGTTATACACAACTCTCAAGAGGTCTCACAGTGGGACATGGTACCAAAAATACATTCTGTGATACATTATTTGACTGGAGCCATTTAGATTGTTTAAGAGTTATATGTAATAAATATGTTATTTTGCCATTTTTAATTGTGCCATTTAAAAATGACCACTAAAGATAAAGCATCATAAATAAGAGGGAGATAAAAAGCCATCAGGACCGCTTATAAAACACTGATTTTGGCTAATGGTTGAAGTATTCGAGTTGTCTGAATTTCTTCTGAGAACCACCTCTGTTACAGCATATTATTCTGCTATCGTTATTGTAACTGCCAAAAAGTAACGGGTGTAAAATCATGTAGGCGGCGATATAAGGGGCTCAATAAAGCCATTAATGGACCAGTTGCGACAGGGGCTACAGGGCTATGAGTGCCAGTGCAGTTGCACCAACTGCAAAAGTCAGACAGAGTCACAAACAAAATGAACTAATATCAAATCCAACAAACCAAGTAAGGTGCTATTATAAATAAGTAGTAGTAGTTTGATGTTATCCTCCACTTTTATGATAAGACCTTCCACTAGATTTTGGAACGTGACTGCAAGGATTTGCTTCCATTTAGCCAGAAAAGTACTTGTAATGTTGGTGTTCTCCTGGCATGTGTACTTTACACTACTCCAGCCAATGCTTGCATTGTGTACTTGTGCTGATTTTGTGTCCAGACACAGTGAGGTACTCAGAAGTGAGTAGAGGAGAAGTGATTTTTATGCACTACACTGTTGCGCTACAATGACCTTGTCTATCTCATTATGTGAGCCTGCTGAGCCTGGGCTGTTGTTGCTCCTGGAACTCTCTACTTCACAATAACAGCACTAACAGTTGTCTAGGGCAGCTCCAGCAGGGTAAAAATGGGCATGACTTGTTGGACAACTGGCACCCTATGGCAGCATCATGTTGAAAGTCACTGACAATGCTTGTCTACAGCAGTGTTTCCTAATCCTAATCCTCCTAATATATAATATATAATTTCATATTTGCTGCTAAATTCTTCTGTATGTACTGTACATGTACCTCTGACTGTAGCTGTACTTATATCCCATTGGACATCCTTTTACTTGCAGATTGTTTGTGTTTATATAATATACCTTTTTCTATAATTATTTAATTGGGGGGGGGGTGGGGGGGGGGTAATTTTATGTTGACACCTGCACCAAGAGAAATTCCTTGTACCCCTGGTACTTCAAATAAAGTGAATGACTCTGATTCTGATATACTGCATTCTGTGACCACTGATGAAGGACTAGAAGATGACAAACTCAAACTGAGCAGAACAGATGAGCTACTGTCCCTGACTTTACCACTACAAGGTATGTGTGTCTAAAAAAGTGGACAGAGAGTGGACAGTGTTTAAAAACTCCAGCAGCACTGCTGTGTCTGATCCACTCGTACCAGCACAACACACACCAACACGCCATAGATAGATAGATAGATAGATAGATAGATAGATAGATAGATAGATAGTTTAAAAACCCCTTTTAGCTCCACACGTGGTTATAAGCCTGGTGAAGAGTGCTGGTATAGTAATGTACAGGGTGTAACAGAAAACCCCTTTAAGATGACAAACTTGCTCCATACTTGAGTCATTCCACCACATCCGTGACGTTTCCTTACCGGGAACGTGACTTCCACCACGAGGCGCGAGACCACGCCCGCCTGATTCATATGCAAAGTAGGTCGTGAGCTCACGCTGCCTCATAAAGCGCGCGCACCGCCCCCTCGCAATCCGCACAGCTGCGGAAGAGCCCTACTGCACTGACCAGAGCAGACCAGCCCTAGACATTCCGACCCCAGCTTCATTTCAGCTTCAGCTCACTTACTCTCCGTCTGCAGGTGAGAGGGGCTTCATGGTGAGGTTACTTTAATATTCTGTAGTGGGGAGATGGCCGTAGTGTGGTTAGTATGGAAACTCAACTGACAGCTATTCATTCATTCATTCATTCATTCATCATCGAGCACAGTTTTTTCGTTTCCTCAGTGTAAAGTCTATGCAGACTGCTTGTGTGCTGTTTATTTATTATTAGTATTAGTATTATCAGTAAGCTAGTAGTAATAATATGAAATAACTATATTCCTGAATGTAACTGTACAGTAGTTGAAACAGTGATGAAGCGTGCAGTGATACAGTGCACAAACAGGTTTATTACAGTAATTCAGCGCACAAATGGGTTTAGTGTAATACAGTGCAGAGATGTGTTTGTTCTGCCCTCCAAAAACCAAGGACGCGATGCTGATGAGCCCTACCTCCAGTGAAAATGCATCAGATGGATCAGCATCAGGTTCATTTACCATATTCGTAAGGGTTTTATTCTTGTACAGCTGCTAGAGAAAAAAGGAGTCACAGAAATAGAGACTAATGGTAACACTAGCCAAGCCTTTAGGCTGTGTGCTCCTCACTGCGGCTGCGCACCATTTCTACTGGCTCTGTTTCTGTTATGTAATCATGCATCCAGTTAGAAGGTGATGTGACCAAAACCGTTATCCTGTCCTTCGTTCAGGAACATCACCTGTTGACTGAATCCAACTGTCCTCGAAAACGAGAAGCAATTGTACAGTATCATATGAAGATGACGTCAGATTCTTATTCGAATTCTCCGTTAAAAGGAAACTATTCGAATTTTCCGTTGAATGAAATTTCACCTTAAAATGGCGCCATAATTTACCCGCTGTACCATTTATGGTGGAACGGAAAATTGGAATAAGATGCTGGCGAATAGAAAGCCGAATTCATCCCCGTCGTTATCGTTTAGTATCGTATTCTCCGGTAGCTATCCTTATTTTTCCTTTTCATTTCTGGGGTTGAGCTGGTCAAGATCATGAGCATGGTCCGTACAGACCAGGTGTGTCACCGGACCCACGATGCTGAGAGCCTACGTGCTCACAGAAATGTCCGCATGACAAAACAAGGTCTTATATCAGCCGCAGGTTCCTCAAGCGATGCTTTCGCAATGAATCATGGTCATTGTAGTTCTTACTCGTGACGATTCGTTTAGCTGCAGAACGTGTCTGACCTTCAGCCATAGAAATGGGCATTAGCCTGACGTGTGTGTGTATATATATATATATATATATATATATATATATATATATAATATATATTTATTTTGTGGCTCGTCAAGAAATAGGTCACATATTTAAATCCACAACCTCAAAATAGCCGAGGCATTTGCTTCTCGCGTGCAGCTGTCTGGATGTCATCATTCCAGTGTTGCATAAGTGAGGCATTGCCTCAGTTCTAGCAGTGAAGGATGGACAATTTATAACAACAGTCTGGAGACAGATAAGGCTGTTATTTACTCAGTCAGATACTTAGAGCAGGCCATTGTCTAAAGTCCATTTCTCCCATTAGTTGACTTAGCCTAATATAAGCCATATATTCACATAGTGTAAATAATGTTGAACCTATATATATATATATATATATATATATATATATATATATATATATATATATATATTTGGTGGTTATGTTGGTCTCCAGTGCCTGATATGCAGCTTAAGAGAGGGTGCGTAAGTGGGTGTCCTTGCAGAGGACTGATTAAGTATTTATCCTTCAGAAACCACTTATCTACGTGCCTCTCTCCGTGCAACACTGGAGGGGGCTGCTGAGATGATGTAAATAGCATCTCCAATGCTTAACCTTTTCTACTGACCACACCTAACAAGCCAGTAAAAATAGCTTCATCCTATACTGGCAACAAAGGAGCAACCAGAGCTGGCTGAAGTTACTGCTGTGGAAAACTCATCATCTCTTGTCAGACACTGTTTCCAACCATGTTGAACTGGATAGGAAACATTAGCATTCTAGTTAGCTCCCTGGCTAAAATACACTGCACTGCGCATGTGCAAACTACCCTGTACTCCGTAATAAAGCAATGGTCACCAACTCTGCTCCTGGTGATATAATTTCCTGTAGGGTTCAGCTACAACCATTACGTGCCACATCTGATCCAGCTGCTTCTTATCTTCAGAAGTTCTTGATTCGCTGGATCTGATGTGGCACATTAGGGCTGGAGGTGAAACCTGAAGGGAGGTAGATCTTCAGGAACACTAAAAAAATCAAATCAAATAAATAACCCTAAATTAATGACAACACTTTTGCAATCAAGCCCTTGGTTCATTGCTTGGCCCTAAAAGCCTTGTAAAATTAAAATTAGAAAAAGATCAACTGTTAATGCTCTGCTAATAGACAACTGTGTGTCCTTCTACAGAAAATGGCATCCACCAAGGAGAAGCTGATTGCCCATGTGAGCACTGAGCAGGCAGTGGGCAGCAAAAGCAAGGTGACTGTGGTTGGTGTTGGCATGGTGGGCATGGCCTCCGCCATCAGCATCCTGCTCAAGGTGAGTGAGCTTGTTTCTGTGATGATGGAGTTCATATTATGTAATAAACATTTTATATCAAATTAACCATTATTAGTAAATATGATGAATATATTAACTGATATTTTTCTATTATTTATTGCCAATGGCATTACGCTTCTAAAATAGTATAAAGAATTGTTTTTAAAAACTGATGTTTGAATAACGTATTCAACGGAACAATATTGGTAGAGTGTTTTTATTCCATTTCTGAGAGATTTCAGGAACTTTTGTAAGCATGGCTCAGAAGTCCAGTGGTGTTAGGAGCTGTACAGATGATTGTCTTGGTCACTTTGATCGCTGCTCTTGACAGAATCAGGTCAGACAACCATGAGTAGGGTCAGATGGTCCAGAGACATTCCACCTCCATGACTGCTTAGTGAAGCAGAGAGGAGCTGGCTGAAAGCCACACTGCACAAACCACTCCTGTTACCTCTGACTGTAAATTAATTGTAACTGTTTGCTTTCAGATTTTAATAATCTTTGAGAGAATCTTAATTCTCCAGGTTTTCACCTTTCACTGTGTAAAATAAAGGAAAATGCCTGGAGTACATGTTAGGCAACAGGTTTGACTTTAAGCTGACCTTAAGCTATTCGCTGAGCTTTCTGAATGAGAGGGAAGAGTCTGGAGCTCAACAGTCAACTTTTATCCCCAGAGGTCAAGCTTAAGCAAATCCACAAGATTCTACTTGTCACTTTCCCTTTGTCAACATGCATTGTTCAGAGTAAATTGCTCAGCCATGGCCTCACACCTAATATCTGTCACAGGGTGTGACATTGAGAGCATGTCATTTTCAAAATATGACCTTTTTCAGCATTTATTAATAACTTTAAATCAAATATAGCACTTAATAATAATAGCTATTTATTTAGCGCCTTTCTCAAACTCAAGCTTGCTTCACAGTTATAGCAAAAACAAATAATCAACAGCTAACCACGTACAACCTCCTCACCAGCAGTACTTCCCTAAGCTGATATCATGTCTCTCAGCCAGTGGGCTAAACTCCCCTGGGTGTTTTGAGGTCTCTCAGTTTGCGGCCCGGTCAAACTTCCCTGTCAGAACGGTCAAAAAGTCTCTCAGCCAGCAGTGCAATCAAATTCCATGAACAGTCAAATTCAGTCAGCCTAAGGCCCAGTTAAACTCCCATGCAGCAATTTAAAGTCTCCAGGGCCGCAACCCAGTTAAACTCCTTCACCTCAATGCAAAGTCTTTCGACCAGTTGTCCAGTCAAGCTCTGCTGCTACAATGTAAACTCACTCAGCCAGCAGCCCCATCACACTCTGCCGCCACAATGTAAAGTCTTTTGGCTGGCGGCTCAGTCTGCCTCTTACGCCGTGATTTAAACTCTCTAGGCCAGCGGCCCAGTCAAACTCCTAAGTCGCAGTGTAAAAACCCCTGATCCAGTCAGTCTTTTACATTGTGGTGTAAACTCTCTCAGCCAGCAGGCCGGTCAAACTCTTACTTCATAGTAGAAACTCTCTTGGCTAACAGCCCAGGTGGGCTCCTACGCTGCTGTGTAAACTCTCTTGGTCAGTGGCCCAGTTCAGACTCCTATGTTGCTGTGTAAAGTATCTTGAACTGCGGTTCAGTCAAACTCCTTTGTTGTGGTGTAAGATTTATCTGAGCCTTGCTCATAGGCTTGACAGAAAATGTGTGATTTTTTCCAGGACCTGGCTGATGAGCTGGCTCTGGTTGATGTGATGGAGGATAAGCTGAAGGGTGAGGCTATGGACCTGCAGCATGGCAGTCTTTTCCTCAAGACACACAAGATTGTGGCTGATAAAGGTGAGGGAAACCTCTGAGAGAAGGTTTTTGATGTTTCTTTGCTATTGAGCCCTGTTTGCAATGTTTTGTGCTTAATGTATTGTAATTTAGAATTGTCTTGTTTACTACTGCATGGTAAACACAGGCTGTGTGTATGATGCAGTGTTTACTTGTATCTAGTTGGGAGATAACAAAGTGTTTCTTGATGCCGAATTAAGTGACAAGCAACTAATAGTCACACCTTTAGTTACGGATTAACATCTCAAGGTAAGAACTGCCTCTGGCTAAACATGAATGTCTCACTGTGAGTCTTTTCGGCATGTGCTCCAGACTACAGCGTGACTGCTAACTCCAGGTTGGTGGTGGTGACCGCTGGGGCTCGTCAGCAGGAGGGTGAGAGCAGGCTGAACCTGGTGCAGAGGAACGTCAACATCTTCAAGTTTATCATCCCCAACATTGTAAAGTACAGTCCCAACTGCATCATCCTGGTGGTGTCCAACCCAGGTTAGCACACATTTCCAGCAAAGCTCCTATTTGTTGGCCTATTTAGAGCAGAATTAGGTCAAAAGACATTATTTTAGCAGGACAGCTAATACTTTACCAAGATGCTTCTCACTTGTTATAATTCTTTAGCTATGTGAATTCTTTAACCTTAGTGAAATAATGAACTGTATTCTGTGCAGTCGACATCCTGACCTATGTGGCCTGGAAGCTGAGTGGCCTTCCAAGGAATCGTGTGATTGGAAGTGGCACTAACCTCGACTCTGCTCGTTTCCGCTTCCTTATGGGCGAAAAATTGGGCCTGCACCCCTCCAGCTGCCACGGCTGGGTGATCGGAGAGCATGGTGACTCCAGTGGTGAGAACCTAAACTCTTTAAATTGAACCTTTTATATCACGTCTGCTCAGCTTATGTACAATTAAAAATGTATTGTTCTTAATAAAAAAAAATTACAATTGTTATACAAATTGACTTATATACACATTTCAGTGTGTCACAGAATAATATGCTGGTATTATTAATTTTTTTAAGTGTAATCAGATCTATAAATTGCAATTCTAAAAACCTTTGGCCTTTAATGTGTGTCTCTTGCAGTGCCTGTCTGGAGTGGTGTGAATGTAGCTGGGGTTTCCCTGCAGGGCCTGAACCCAGACATTGGCACAGAGAAGGACAAGGAGGACTGGAAGAGCGTCCACAAGATGGTGGTTGACAGGTGAGGAGTGCGCCATCAACTTGATCATCTTAAGCTGACAAAACTACCGACTTTGAGACAAGTTGAAAATAGTTTGCCTAGGAATAGGTGTCTACCTTCTATTATCTAAGATAAAAGCGCCTAGATGGTTCCGTGGGAGATAGAAGAGCACGTGAACATATGCACTCCTGGCCAAGTAATACAGCGTGCTGAATTCATGTAACAGCTTTGTGACCAGATAATGAAATAGTGCACCTGGCACAGGTTAATCTATTATATGCTGCTGAAAACTGAAAAGCTGACTTGATCAGCCACTCAGGTGTCCTTCATTAATGGGGACTACTTTTGTATTCATTTAGCCATAAAGCACCACTTAGATGAAAGCATTTTAAATACAGACTTAGAACCTCAATGTGTTTTGTTTGCTCTGTCTGCATTGACAGTGCATATGAGGTTATTAAGCTGAAGGGATACACCTCCTGGGCTATCGGAATGTCCGTGGCTGACCTGTGTGAAAGCATCCTGAAGAACATGCACAAGTGTCACCCAGTGTCCACTCTGGTCAAGGTGAGAGTTTCCTCCATCTGCTCAATTTCCTCAAGCCTACTAATCATCACTATTAACTCCTTAAATGGCCAGGTTATTATACACTTATTATACACTTAATCTAAGAATAGCTCAACCAGTCTGCATTAAAGTCTGTGTAGTTGCTAAATAATAAACCTGAGTATTACCCACTACACTACAGCAATGAGCATTATACAATACTGTATACTATGCTATACCTATAATTGTCAGCACTACCCTTCAGTTCTTCTATACGAACAATTATCTTTGAACAAGCTGTTGCCCTTTTTCTTCTATCTGCACCTGACAACATTTATTTTTATGCCACAATTTATGGCGTTTGTCTCTTCGCCAGCCTTTGAACTTTGCATCCATACCTTTTTCAAGTGACAACACCCACAATACACAGTGACCCACAGTAAAAAGCTGCTGCTGATTTGATATGAACTACTTTGCTTGCATGCAATTGGTAACTATGTGGTACGGCTACCACGATTGGTTAATAAGCCCTGTATTGCTACACAGAAATTAATACAATATACAATACAAAAGTGCACAACATAAACATCCTCTACAACATGCAAACTCAGCGTTAATGAACAGTGGTTTGACACACATTTTTCATTTCTTGCCCTGTTTTTCCAGGGAATGCATGGAGTGAACGATGAAGTCTTCCTGAGCGTCCCCTGCATCCTGGGCAGCAGCGGCCTGACTGATGTGGTGCACATGACCCTGAAGCCTGAGGAGGAGAAGCAGCTGGTGAAGAGTGCTGAGACACTGTGGGGGGTGCAGAAGGAGCTGACCTTATGAACCACGCCCCCCTCCAAAATATAGCCTCCAGTCTCTCAAGGCAAACCTCAAAAGTGGCTCCCTAACCTCACCTTCCCTGACACCCACTCTCTACATAGTCCATCCCTCCCCTTTCATTTATCCTCATGAGATGTCTTGAAGCAGACCTCAGACCCATAGACCTTAACACTCCTCACTATAGCTTCAGAGGAGCATATATTTATGTAGTCTTTACATGCTATATGGCCTTTGTAAAGTTGAGTGTCAGTGTGCATATATGTTTGCGCTTCTCGTCTTCCTCTGTATTTTTCAAAACAACAAAGGAAAGAAACCTATTTATGATCAGGACAGTTTGGTCTCTGTTTGGTATTTGTATTCTGAGCTCAACAAGCATTCCGTACCATTTTGTTCCTAATGCAAAAACAGTCAGTTATCAAGACCAACATCCTGTTGAACCAAAGCTAAACATCATATCAAACCAGCCAGTGACCTGGATCAAGGCATACATTTCTGTAAGCAAAATCAACCCCAAGTGCACTGAGGCGAATCTTTATTGCCATAGACAAGCCCCTCTCAGCTCAGTAATACAAAAACAGGGTCAACTGGAACTGTTGACAGCTTTTTGTCTCATTTGGTTCAAACTGAATGTGGAACAAATAACCTGAAGGAGAACCAAATGGAATTTTGTTGTGGCTCACTGCAGCTTCTGGCAACATAATTGTGAAATTAGATGTATTATTTGATATCTGTCAGTTTAAGTGACAAGTCACACCTACTTGTGATATGTATATCTGTACACCTTATGTATCAGCTAGAAAGGTTATTTTTGTATTTTTATTTGTGAACTGAGCTTGGCTCCTACCAAAACGCTCCTAGTGGCATTTTGCTCAGACACAGAGCTTAATGTGGTCAGAGTGTCAGAGCAGACAGAATCACTCCACCTCACTCCACCTCCAAATAAAGGTTGACTAAACAAAATTCATGCTTTTGTTTCCATCTTTTGTGTGCGCCAGAGCCTGAAAGAATTTTATAGTGAGTGGAAAGAAGAGCTGATTGCACAGAAGCACAGCGTAGCGTTTATAAAACTGCAGTCCAACACATGATAAAAGATTTAATTGGTTGACAAAATGATTGTATGAGGCCCACCTACCTGGGTCATTGGTCACCAACGCTGATCCTGGAAATATGCCTTCATTCCAGGTCCATTCCTGGTTCCAATTCCCATCTGCCACACCTGTGCAAGTGTAGACTGCAGGACCACAATGGCTTGATTTAGGACTGGGCTTTAGAGAATGTAGCACATATGTTGACACACCATTTTCATAAGTGTGGTTGGTGTAGTGTAGTAGGTAACACCTCAGCCCTCCACCCTGCAGACTGGGGTTGGATCCCCCACACTATGCCAATTAGAGTCCTTGGACAAGATCCCTAACACTACCTTAACTTACTTCTGTAAAAACAATCAAATTGTTTTTCAAAAGTCACTCTGGATAAAAGCGTCAGCCAAATGCTGTAAATGTAATATATTAGTCTTTCTCTAGCCCCGGTTTGCCCAGTCCTGATCCTGAAGATGTGCCACCCTGGAGAGTTCAGGTTCCACATACCTGCCTGTGATATTCCGATTCCCTTTGGTCCAGGCCTTGATTACCTGGATCAGGTGTTAGATTAGGGTTAGAGCTAAACTCTGCAGGGTGGTAGATCTCCAGGACCAGGATTGGGCTCCCCTGCTCTAGCCCTTCATCAATGGTCAGTTTCTGACCACAGAGCTGCTCTTGGCTGGATATTTTTGGGTGGTAGACGATATAGAATCTAGCAGTGAGACACCTTCACCACTTCACCACACCACTGTAACCAGTTCACTTATACCAGTGCCACAGCCCCTACCATGTCAGAGTGACTGCTGTGCTGAGGCCCACCACCCAAATAACATCTGGTCCGCAGTCATTCTACAGAGGCCCTTTTCGATTAATGAATGGTGCATGGACAGCAGCGAAAAATGCAAGGTAAGCCAGTGACTCAACAAACATGATGAAAGTATGACAAAGTGATGTGAGGCGGTCATAAAGCGTAGAAGGGGGGTTACAAAATACTGCTCTTAGTTGTCGCCTTCCTTCATTTTTTAGTGTTTATCAGTAATCATTACATTAAAAACACTTTAGCAACAGTGTGATGATTATTGTCTGCAGAATTATTGCAATAAAAGATCTCACCTTGATCCAAATTCAGTCACCAAATATAAGGGCTACAGAGCCTTACCCTACAGCTTTAAATTTTCCCCTGGTAATATAATTCCCATCCGAGTTGTCCGTATTTGTTTGGTTTGCACCTCTCTTCTGATCAAGCTTGTCTATTTTATTCTCTCATCTCATTTACTCTAGTTTTCTTCGTCTCATTTGCATGAAGCATATACCAACATAGGCATGTAGGAATGCTGGCATTCTTTGCCCGGCTTACATTACAATCTTTCCATGTAGTCTTTAAAGTACATATTTGTGTAGTTAATTATCTGATGTTCTGTGTATATAATGTGTATTTAGTGTATTGCTTTCTATTATATGCATTTTTAACTAATCATAGATTAGAATAATTCTACAAACGGATTGATTAAGTAAAAGTAAAGCAATAAAAAAAAATGCAGCACAAGAAAAAGAATGATTAACCAATATTTTACAAAATATCATCACTTGTTTGAATTTTTCATGACATTCGATAGTATCAATTATCGGCCCAAGGCGAGTGTACAGAGGGTTACCGTAGGGGTGGACAGTATGGCAAAAACATATCACAATACATTTTCACAATACATGATATATATTATGATATTCTGACATGCTGACAAAATGCACCAATAGTGCCACATTTTAAAAACAGCTATCAAAACCTCTTGGTACAATGATTGTTAGACAAAATTGGCTGCAATACATCCGGCTATACAGGGTTAATGATGCTTTTTATAATAAAACATGAATTTGGTTAGTGTTCTGTAAGTTCTTACAATATCCACAGTATGCTTAAAAAACATATCACGATTACAGAATCGATCACGATAATAATATCGTCATACTGCTCACCTCTAGGTTACCCTTTAAGTTCAGGGACAAAAACAAACAAGCATAACATGCTAAGAGATGTCAGAATGAGTAAAGCAGTGCACTCAGTGCTACATTAACATCGCAACATAAACTTCACACAGCAGTAACAAAGACCAAATCTTCCTGCTTTTTATTTAGCTGCTTACATTAATGACTAAAGATCTGAAAACAAGAAGGAAACAATAAGATGAATGATCTTTGTAATAAAAAGATCCCTTCAAATTAATAAAACCTAACAGACAACCCAAAGTGCATTAAAAAACAAACTGAATGGACCTATGAGTTATTTTACAAGTATTTTGTCAAAAACATTTTTTCTTGTTAATTCCTTTGAAACCTACTTAAAGAAATAAACAAGTAGCTATCACCCAAAAGATGATGCTGAAATCATTCAAGCTCTAGCAGACATGCAGGCACACACACACGTACATGCAAACATACATACATACATACATACATACATACATAAATTTACACTCAGTCTCATACAAATTAGAGGGTAAATGCTTTTGTAGCCTTTCCAAATATTTACCACCTGAAATATCAGTCAATCAATTTAAAATAGCTACATGACAGAAAGTTGTACCATTATAGCAACAACTCTGAACCAGAACACAGCAGGTTGACCCCACGACAGCACAGGGGAAACATAAATAGTGAGTCTGACACAGTGAAGTTAAATTATTGAAATACAGAAGCTCAGTTAGACAGTTCCTCCTGTCCCACAATTTTTATGGAGTGTGGAGAAGTCATTCAGCAGTATCTCACTTGGCTACATGTTGGAGTGAGTCTTGAAGGAAACATTATTTTTCACATTTTGATATGAAACTGGTAATAACAGTTATCATGAGCTATGTGAAGCACTGCAATATCTAGAAGTACCAACAGATCCTAAGATGGAGGAAGCCCTAAGACCGTATAAGATATACATAACGTTCTACATACAAAAAAAAACAGAAATTTACCCCAGTGATCTTGTCTCCAATCTGCTGAAGTATTAATCACTGTTGTGCTTCGTTCCTGATTATAAAATTTCATCTGATATCAACACAGAAAATCTAGTGCCTTGTCATCCTGAAGGACACAATGACATCATGTGCTGTTTTCCAGAATCCAGTGAGGAGAAAGAACAGTCAAAAGGTAAAGAGAATGTTGATGAGAGCTATGCAGACAGACAGATGAAGGTGTGAGGTGTAAAAATGAAGAAGGAACAAAGGAGATCAGTTGGCAGTGGGGTCAGTAGAGGTCACTGAGTCCAGCAGTCTTTCGGGCTTTCTGCATGAGCGCTCGCAGCTGGAACTGTTTGCGGGACAGCAGGCGCACATGCTGTAATAAAGGAAAAACAGGTCAGGCAGTGTTCAGGCCAGGAAGCTCCCACACAGAATAAATGTGAAGTCTAAAGGTTCTAGGGAGAAGAAAACTGCAAAGAAATCAGATGGTCCAGTGACCCAAAAATGAAAAAGATGAGGTAAAGTAAGAAAGAGGAGTACCACCTTGAGAAAGACCTCCAGGTCGATGACGCCTCTGCGAAGAGCCTCCCCAAGGTAGAAGATGGTATCCTCGATGGCGTTTTCCTCTGCGTACAGGTTCAGGATCTGCTTATAAAGTGGTGCTGTGGGAACAATGACATCATCAATGTCATTGTTCTCTGACTGGTTCTCCATCTTCTCCAGAGCTTCTGTGAGTTCTTCGTCTTTCTTCTTTAGGAGATCAATATTCCTGTCCACTTCAGCCTGAAAAAAGAAAAAACATTATCATACAACAGTTATACTGTGTTTACATTATCACAGTAGTGGATGATGGCAAAGCAGATGTTCCATATTATTAAAAGAAGCAGTGATGGAAAACTCCACGGCAACGGCAGAGAACGGCAGAACAAAACGCTCATAACTGTCCAGGTGTACCCGTTCATTATAATATAAAATAGCAGCTAATGGCATCAGCAGGAACACCAAGACTAGTCCAGTAATGCTATCATCTCATCACCACGGTGACATAATTTGATTGGCTGGAAAGTATTCTTCTACCCGTGTTGTTATACATGATATGATTTTTTTTACCCCACCCTTATTATTCCACTGATCACCAGGTGCCAAGTAATAAGAACAATATTTTTTTATTCCAAGTTTGTGGTAGAACTACCTTTGTGGCAGTGAAAAACATCCAATATGGAAAAAAAAGATACGATATATATATTTAGAGATTCTACCTTTCCATCTCCTCATTACTTGTAAGGTTGTTTAAAAGCCGAATGAAAGCAAAATGACCCTCGAAAAGAATGCAAAATCACAGGCAGAAATATTCTTTGTGATAATACATGGCCTTGAGTGTTCGAAAGACAAAACTCGACCCGAAAGATTGTGCATCTTTTTCTGAAATAACTGCTCAGACTACTGGTAGCTGCACTCTCACCACTTCCTGGTCAAGGTGAGACACCATCTCCTCCAACTTCTGGTGGCCTTTCTTCAGGTCCTCCTCTGTACGCTTGAGAGCATCCAGCTCGGCCTGAGCTCGATCCATCTCCTCCTTCATCCTCCAGCGCAGCTTATCACTCACAGCTGAGATGAGTGAGGCACGAATAGTGTCCTCCCCAATAGTGGCGTCCCGACTCGGCCCTTGAGAGAGAGCGAGGGAAGATGGCTAAACCCTGATTTGATGCTGCTGTTTGTGTTATGTTAGCTTCAACTGATGGCTCTGAATAAATCTACAAGAAGATATTTCTGAAATATGTACTGAAGTTGCATTGTAGGTGGTTAGGTGATGAAGTAACTTTAATTTAGAGAAATCAATAAGTTTTGCAGGTATAATACAACATGTTCTACAACATAGGCTCCCCAACTTTATCTACAGTTCACACTGCTGAGTAAGACACCTACAATAGTACTT